GTGAAGTTATTTGACGTGATTGGGGCTGAGTGAGATGGGGCAGTCCTGGGAGCACAGTGGCAGAGGCTAGCAATGGAGAGCTGGGTCAGACACCTGGTCTCACATCCTAGCACTGTCTCTCCCAGCTGTACGAGCATGAGCCAGTTGTTTAACTTCCCCGCGCCTCAGTTCTCCCTCTGAAAAATGGAGGAATAAAATGATTCTCAGCTCACAGGGCTACTGTGAAGATTAAATTAGTTAATATATTTAAAGTGCTCAGAGCATAGTCCCTATTGTTATATAAAAGCTGGTATTATGGGCTGGGGAGAGAGAATAGTCTAGCAATGAGTGAAAGTGTTGTCTAGCACAGCACTTCTGAAACCTGAATGAGAATATGCATCACCCGGGGATTTTGCTAAAAGGAAGATGCTGATTTAGTGGGTCTAGGGTGGGGCCCAAGATTCAGCGTTTCCAACAAGCTCCCAGGTGATGCTGTTGCTGCTGGTCCGGGGACCATACTTTGAGGGGCAGGGTTCTAGCAGTACTGATGCCCAACTAGGAGGGGCCAGTGATTGGCGCCAGGCAGCGTGGCCGTTCTCCACTCGCTCAGGAATGGAGAATGGATGTTTGGTCTGAGCCTGCTGCTTTCCGCCCAGGTGTGATTGGACAGGAGGGGGCATGGGGGTGTGGGGTACTGATAAGTGCAGCATCAAGAGAGGCGGCTGTGGGCTCCAGGCCTAATATGATGGGGGTGAAGCCAGGAGGGGCTGATGGAAGAGGCAGGAGAGGACCGAGGCCAGTAGAAGTGGGACAGAGGTGCTGAGAGAGGTAGTGGTCACAGGGGGCAATGTCAGAGAGTAAGACAAGGGGACAATAAAATATTTACTGCTGAAACCTTACCGAATCTAATTTTATTCATTTTTGATGATTTAGAAGGCTTTTTGTTTGCTCAGCAGTGCCTCAAGGACAGTATAAACAGCAATTGATTAGAAACATTTTTTTTATACTTCTGGTCAGTAGAATGCCTGATAAGAGAAAAGTTACTGAGTGTTGCTTTCTGCCATGTCCAGTATATCCTCAGTGGCAGACGTGAGATGGGTGGGCTCCCTGGAGCACTCGGGTTCAGTCTGCAGTCAGGCATGCAGTATGTTCAGCAAGTGAAGTGGAGTGCAGGATTCCCAATGATGGGGAAAATCATTCCAAGGAGATTCCAAAATCTCATCTCCAAGGAGAAAATGTGGCAGTGGAAGCAGCTGGCAGGTGCCTTGAAAAGAGGGGGCATGCAAGATTGGACAAATGGTACTAAATTTTGGTCAGTATTTCTTTGGGTCACATTCATCCTTTGTTCAGGAGTGTGTTAGAGAAACACACTTCAATTTCTAACATATTTAACACCATGTGTAGAAAATGCATCTGTCGGCTGTCATACTCTCTGTCATCTCTCTCTTCCTGTTCTGGTGTCGAGGGCCAGGTGGCAACCCGAGATGAGATGTTGTACAGAGATTCTGAGTGCTGATAACTTTTATGGAAAGCTCCTGTTCAGAGGGGCACCACCAGGAAGATTAGTCAAGCTGCTTCCCTCTCCTCGGCTGCTCTGTCCTAGCTCTGCCTCTGACATTGGACCCCGTGGCCACCAGAACTGGCCGGCAAACCACACTTTTCTTCTGTGTGTCTGGCTGAGCCTGACTTCTTTCTTGTGGGACTCAGAACTTTGGTTGGTTCATTTCTTTAATGGATTTTCATAAAGATGCTTTTATGAGAAAGGGAAGAAAATATACTTTCCTTTTCAGAGATATGGTATAAATAGAACTGCTCCATCGTATTTTATTCCCAGCCTTGGGAATAAATATTACTGCGTGTGAAGCTTTCTCTAATCTCACTATGCCAGCTCCGACCTGAGGAATTTGTGGGCTTATGAATACCCCTAGCTATCGCTTAAATTGAGCTCATTTCTTTGAGAAGCATTGGATTATCTTTTTAAACCCTCGACAGAGAAAAAATTTCATTCTATCACCTCGTGGCTTTACTAAGCAAAGTAAATCATTTAATAGAATAAGAGCAATGGGGCCGGCCCCGTGGCTTGGTGGTTAAGTGCTCGCGCTCCGCTGCTGGTGGCCCAGGTTCGGATCCCGGGCGCACACCGATGCACCGCTTCTCCGGCCATGCTGAGGCCGCGTCCCACGTACAGCAACTAGAAGGACATGCAGCTATGACATACAACTATCTACTGGGGCTTTGTGGGAAATAAATAAATAAATAAATAAAATTATTAAAAAAAAAAAAAAGAATAAGAGCAATGTAACAGTAATGCAGTTAGAGGTCGGAGGGTGGATAACCTCCATGGTCGCCATTGTAGGGGATGGGGGAGGATAGAAACTTTTACACATCCTTTTTTGAAGTTTTTATTTTGTAAAGTATTCTTCAGTTCCTAAATAAGAACCTCATTTGTTAAACTATGAGAAACTTAGTTGCCATGGCTCTAAAAGATAGAAGTTGTTTCCTGTTGTCCTTACAAACTCCCTGCAAGGGTGTAACTTTGTGAAATTGCTTTCTGGTCCCTTGAGTGTCACATAAATATACTATGAAACCTAGGTTTCAAATTATGGTGCAAATTTTTTCCCTTCCAATCAACTGGAAGGACACTGTTAATGAACAAATTTGTATTCTTATTCTTAATACTCTTATACCGGTATTTTACGCTACATAGATTTTTTTACTGTCTTAATTTCTACATTTATTTGTTTGACCACTATTTATTACTCAAAGGCCCATCCCACCATTTCTTTTAATGTCCAAGGCTATGATCCTAGATGTTTTGCTTTATTGTTCTCTCTTCCAACAAATAATACTAAGAGGGAGACAGCCAGGATTCTAACATAAAATAGAAATAGAAGAAGATGGCCATTTTATTGTCTGTAGTTCCTGCTTGTAGAGACGAAACTGACAGATTTTGTAATCATAGAGCGAGAGGCAAAAGCGTATAAACTAAATTTTAGGGTGTGAAGCTGCACTATCTTTGACTATTTTCAGAAAGAGAGAGATTTCTTTAGTGTAATCTCTTGGATGAGTACCTGAAGAATACCAATTCATCAACCATGCTTGGTTTCTACAATTTCAGTCAAGGTAGAGTTTTGTTCTGTTTCTGATACACAATTTTACTTGTTTTCTCACTTCTTAGTTAATAGTATGTTTTGTAATAGATGTGGTTTTAAATTCTTTCTTTTAAATGTAGTCATTAACAGATTTTCCTCTCTGTTGCTATCATCATGGTTAGTGTTGCTAAGAAAATAATTAATTTTATTGTATATGTCAACAGAAAATTCTTATCTCTTCCTCTGTCCATTTCTTTTTAGCTTTAAAATGAGCAATCTGTTCTGAAAATCTTGAATAGCATCAGCATTTTTTTCTACAGTACTGTGCCAGCATCTATAAGCACCATTAAAATCACTATCATTAGAATAGATCTTTCCAATGACTCAAAATGCAAGCGGAAAAAATATCTTATGCCAAGTACAGAAGTGGTTTTACTAAGTGCTAAATGTTTTGAAGATGAATTAGTTAAAAAATGTTTTTTGGTGTGGAGAAAAAAGCTTTTTGTTTTTTCTAATGGAGCATAACTTTGCAATTATGAATAAGAACTTTTTACTTGCTTTAACTTTCCGCGTTGGAGCTCAAATCTTCTAGACAAGTGGGCAGGCTTACTTTTACAGGTTCCACATGGTAATGCCTTCAAATGAAATCCAAGTGTGAGCCTGCGTTGCTTATGACTTCACGTTGATCCGACATATGTAAATGCTTACTTTACGTTTAAGTGCTGTGGTATTTCCCTGGGGGTCAATGAAGCTCCTGTGATATAACTCAATAGTTTCTATTACGGATAGTCTTTCTTCATATCATAGTCTTTCAAAGTCTTCACAGGACATTTTTAGACAGTTTCTTTTTAACAGCTATTATTCAGTGGCATGAGAAGACTCACGTTTGAATGGGCGTCTGAAGGCTTTTTTTCTTGCCTTAATTTTGTCTTTATAGCTGTGTGGTCTTGAGTCACTTGCTGGGCCTACATCTCCTCATCTATAAAATGAGGAGGTTGGACTAAATAGTCTCCAAGATCCCTTTCCACTTAAAGTTTCTCTGATTCGGTGGAAAACTGGCTATGTTCATGTGCTACATGGCTTTGTTTAATTATGTCTCACTACATTTTTTGAATCAAATTACTTTGGTCAGAGGCTCATCATTCTCAGTCCTCCTATCCTTTTAAAAGTTTTGCTTTTTCAACCACAGAGACATTTAGAAAGCATGCTCCATGGATTACATCTCTACCCTAGTTCAAAAAAATTTTGAAATGATTACAGAAGACTGATTATAATCTGTTTGATTATCTGGCATGGCTGCTGATAATCTCACTGTGTTCCTAGCAATCTCACAAGTCTCAAAAGTGCTACAAGGTGTGTTAAGAATAGGCTGATGTTCTTTTGTTTTGCTCAAGTAGGTTGAGCAGAATCCTGGGAAGACAAGCATGATGTCAGGTTCTGAAAAAGAGCAAGGTGGCAAGAGAAGGGTATTTGCTTTTTTGCCTTAAGTTTTAGATCGCTGATACCCCTAGTCTAGTATGCTTCATTAGGCTGTCTGAGTCCCCTGCCTCCTCTCAGTCAGCAGTCTGTTGCTTGCATGCATTTCCTTAGGCAATTTTGAAACCTACCACGTGGCCTTCTATGTCTAGTAATTAATAGTGTTAACTGAAGCAAAGTGAAAAATGAGCTTGATCTGTAATGGCTGATGTATGTGGTGTTCTTCCAAACTATTTTGTTCTCCGGGTGTATAGTAATGCATTTCAAGAACACAATATCTTTGGAAAGAGGATGAATGTGGGAGTCTGGAGGCTGTGTAGTCTTTACCCCTGAATTCATAACCACTTAGGTTATTTTCAGGGTAGGTGTATGCTGTGTAACCCAGGTAGCAGCACCAGCGAACACTGTTCACATTCGACTAGTGAAGAATTGGGTGGGTTTGTTTTGATTCAGGTAAGAAGAGTTCCTGGGTCAAGCGGTCACCTTCATAAAACCGAAGACGGTGACTGGGAGTGGAGTGACGACGAGATGGATGAAAAAAGTGAAGAAGGGAAAGCAGCTTTTTCTCAAGAAAAGGTAAATGACATTGACAATGATCAGCTAACCTGTGTAAAGTTTATTTTTGTGCTATCTTTTTGTATGTGTATTAATGGTTATGTAATTGTTTTACAGTCGCGAAGAGTAAAAGAAGAAAATCCAGAGGTGAGTGGTGGTTATTTATTTATTTTTAAGTTTTTTTTGCTGCTTTGTCCCCTCCCTTGCAGTATCAGAGTCTGATCCATTTGGGGAAGAAACTTCAAAATTTTGTTCTCATATAGTCAAAAAAAAAGGAAAGGCACATAGACTTTGCAGGTCCCGATTCTGTCTGAGTTACTTTGGGGCTGTATACATTCGGGGAGATTACTTTACTCTCTGAGCCTCAGTTTCCCACTCTGTCAAATGGGGATGATCACAATACTTATAAAGTTGCCCTGAGGATTGATGAAATCATGTACTAAGGCGCTCAGTGGAGTCCTTGGCACAGACTAGTTAATCTTAATTCTCGGTATCACTATCATTTAGAAAACAGTAAGTATACAGGAAAAATTTCTTCTAGATTTTTAGTTTATAATAAAGCAAGATATTAAAATGGTTAGCAACTCTAGGTTGAATCTGTTGGTCTTGATTTTCAAATCTCCTGGATAACTTAGTAGACAAGAGATACTCTTTTATCAGTTTCCCCTTGAGAACTGGTCATCTTTTGATTAACTTTACTTCCTCCATCTGGTTAATTATCCTAATGCCTAGACTAATGATGACTGCAGTTCAAAGGATTTATTAATTCTCCTAGAGGAAATTTGAGCATATTTTAAATAGTTCCCAATATTTTACAGATCTAGTAATTAATGTGTACCCTGATAAATTCTCATTAAGAAAACAGAAGACTTTGGGTTACAGATGATATCCATCCCAACTTTTTTTTAATTGGCAGACATTTCCTTTTGATTAAATGGAGTAAATCTTATCATTCCATTTTAAGTGGCAATAGCCAGCGGGACCGTCTTAGAAGAGAACGTCAGAGCTACAAGCCACTGCTTCTCCTGTTATTCTTCCCTCCCTCTGGTCTCTTTTCATCCTTCATACCACACTGATAGGCCTCTCCTAGGGGTTTTTCAGTCTGCCTGCCTCTCATTGGTAACTCTCCTTCAAATCCTGTTTCCTCCTACGTTTCTCACATGAATTAATCTTTCCATTTCATTCATAAAATATAAGCTTTGGTGAGGAAGGTATCCCTCTCTGCTACAAATGATGGTGATGAGCTCCACAGTAGGACATGTTGGCCACACACATATCGTGCTGGGTTTTTAGAATGATGTTAACCAGGTATCATGAACTCTGCCCTCTTCTTGCCCACTTTCCTATTTTATCTAGAAGTACAAAGTCAAGGTTTTTCACTTATTTCTAAGAGTGTCTCTAACTGAAAGCGTCAGTTCTACTTAGAAATAGAACCAAAGAGCATGATTCAAGTAGCATCAGTGACTCAAAAAGCATTTGTTATTGGTTCACTACAGGACATCTTCCTTGGATGATATGCACTGAATCCTGCCTTGCTGGTACAGACTGACCGGTGTAGGTCTTTCCTCATGAGGATTTGTTAATTTTATTGTGACAATATCTTACTACGTGCTTGTTGAAATTGTTCTAACTGATGTGTTATTTGGATAATAGCAGTATCTTTCTGGCAGGAGTATTTTCTGTTTAGACATGAAAGAGAGTAATGTATAGCATGCTGTCAGTTGGTCATCACGTGTCACTATCGATCTTCCTGAGTAGAGTTTGAAAGTCTTAGGCATTTCTCTGTATCTAGACCCATTTGATTTCCCAGTGGCGTATGTTTGTTCCCATGCTGGGTTGTAACTAAGGAAGCATATAGATAGTCTTATTTTTGTGAAAAGATACATGTGTTTGAATGTAAACACTCCCACCAAATTTTAGGAATAACCAGCCCCACCAGCTATTGCATAGCTTCTAAGGCCAGTTTTTTTTTGCAAGGCTGGCATTTCAGTCTCCTGAGCTGTGTTAAGAGCTGCTAGAATGATGGTTCCTGTGTCCTTTCAGCTTTTAAGGGTAGCCCACTGATTTGCGAACCACCTGAAATCGCTTTTTGTAAGCGAAGAAGAAAGTATTTTATTTACCTATTATAAAGGGAATTAAAATTGTTGAATATGTAAATATTCAACAAATATATATATATGCCTACTGTGCACTGTTTAGGTGTTGGGGATACATCAGTAAGGAAAAGGAGAGTGCAATTCCTATCTGTGTGGAGGTTACAGTGGAATATAGGAGTAACGGAAAAAAAAATAGATTAGGGTGGAGGGTATAGTAGTGTGGTAGGGGGCTGTAATTTTAAATGGGTTGGACAGGGTTGGCCTTATTGAGAAGGGACATAGAGGAAAGACTTGTAAAAGGTATGGAAGAATTAAGTAGAATAAAAACTGCAAGTTTACTTTATCTTGCTACCTCTCTCACCCCTGTGACTGTTGCTTCTTTCCACAGAGGTTATCAGTTTGCAGTGTTTTCTTCTAGACTTTTTTCTGCTCATTTACAGACAAATATGTACATAAAGAAATCTAGCATACTATTTTAAAAACATGAATGGGATTATAAAAACTACAAAAATTTTTTTTTGGCAACTTGCGTTATGTCTTGGAAATCTTTCCACATTAGTTGCTGTAGATCTGCCTCTTTATTTTTAATTGCTGCATAGTGTGATGGATGGATTGAAATGGTTTATTTAACCATTTTCTTCTTGGTGAGCATTTAAGTTGCTGTATTACAAACTGCATTCCATTAACATTTTAGGTATGTATTTTGAGAGGCACAGATGCAAGTAAAGAATAGGTACGTGGAATTGTGATTGCTTTGTTTGAAGCGTCTGCTGGTTTTGAATTTTTTGTAGTTGCTATCATATATAAAAATAGTTGCACTTTAAATATCTTACAGTTTTGTCAGTTATACCTCAATAAAGCTGGGGAAAAAAAAAGCTCTGCCAATGTATACAGCCTCTGACAGTGTGCCTTACTCCTTTAAACATCTTTGAGGGAGAAAACGCTTATCTGTGCCAAATGGCATATTTAAATGCCAGAGTGTTTACATTTTAATAAGCTTTTCCATAACGCTTGTCATTTAAATTGCAGTTTAGTTATTTACTTGACTATGAGCCACTGGAAGACTGGGATAGTATTTTATTCATGTTTGTATTCCCTTTGCATTGAATAGATGCTCTGTAGTATATTTGCTGGCAGCATGAATACCCACGCACTGAAATACAGACATGAAACAAGTGCCCGAATGGACAAACCATATTTATGAGTATGTTAGGAGTGCGGGAAAAGATCAGAAGATGTTATGTAATTGAGCTGAACTTCTGAAAAAGTACCTTAGTAGTTCCATGTTTAGACAGGGTAAGATGCTGCAATAAAGGAGGGTTATTTTAGAAATGCTTGATTTGTGAGGGACTGTTTGGCTTCCTGGGAAGTGTAAGGCAGAAGGTCCAGGTGTTACAGCATTAGTCAGAGAAGATTGAGACGGCCAGGGTGGGGTGTTTGTCAGAGGGACATTGGGTCGATGTGCCTGGTACTGGGCCACATTTGCAGATCCTCTTAAGTCCAAGAGAATTTCCAGTGTGAACTGTAGAGATCCAGAGCTGCACCACTTATCTTGAGATTCATAGCCAAACCCATTGAAAAATTGGTCCTCCTGTATTCCTAACCTGATTTTTTAGAAATAGCCTTGCAAAGTATTACTCACCCACTAGTAATTAATAATTTTTAATAAGTAGGTAATTCAGGCTCATTTCATTTATTTATTATCTTATTCCACTTGGATGGTGGAAGCCAGGGGAGACTACAGGTTAATAATATAACAGTAATATTAATCATGTAGTTAGTTAAGTGAACAAATATTTAACCTGGGCCTGATTTCTGTATGGAGCTGTGTTAGGCACTGTGGCATTGTAGGAATTACACAAAAGCAAAGAAGAAAGCATGCTCTCTAGAAGCTTCTCATCTCTTTGGGGTGGGGGTTGGGGGTGGTATTTGCAAGAACTGGCTTCCTTAGGTAGGATTTCCTATCTTATATAGGATCCTAATTTATATAAAACCTTTCAACTATTGTCCCATTATTGATCTTTTTTTTTTTTTTTTTTTAAGACTGGCTCTGAGCTAACATCTATTGCCAATCCTCCTCCTTTTTTTCCCCCAAAGCCCCAGTAGATAGTTGTATGTCAGAGCTGCACATCCTGCTAGTTGCTGTATGTGGGACGGCAGCCTCAGCATGGCCGGAGAAGCGGTGCATCGGTGCGCGCCCGGGATCTGAACCCGGGCCGCCAGTAGCGGAGCACGCGCACTTAACCGCTAAGCCACGGGGCCGGCCCTGATCTTTTTTTTGACCAGTGATTTTGGAATCTTTTTTGTTAGGCTCTGAAATAATCAGTATATATTTTATAATTCTTTTGATCAATTTGGTTTTATACCCTAATTTTCTGTATAAAAGTAAAATTGATTTTATCTTTAAATTCACATTTTATTTTGGTTTCGTTTAACCAAGGAGGACGTTCGCTCATGCTTCTGTTGAAGAAGCATTCTTTTTACAGCAGCCGCTCCCTTAGGACGCCTGAAAATAAATGGTTCGCAACTCTGGCTCTACATCCGAAAAGCCGAAAGCTTGAAAAATGCGGATGCCTCGACTCGGCCCTTAAATTATGGTGTGGTCGTTTGGGGCGATGTCCAGACAACTCTGATTTTTAAAAAGCTGCTCACATGATTCTGTTATGTGGCTAGGATCAAGGCCACCGACTAGAAAAACTGCACTGATTGCTCGGAATCTAAAAATCCAGATTGGAACCCAGGAAGACTCTGTGTTCAAAATTCCTGGAAACTTGTTTGAAATATCTGTCTATCAGAAATCTCAAAAAAGAAGAAGAAGAAGAAAACTAAGAAAGTTGTTTCAGAAATCCCTTGGAAAAGTTGTGCTTATGTAATCAAGTGCAATGAAGCCAGGTGGGAAGGTTTGCTGACTGAAGCCCCTTAGGGCTGACGAGAGGACTATTGAAGAATTTTGTTATAGAGTCTAGGCTAGGTTAATTGTGAAAATGTTCTGTTCCCAACTCTGATATTTTGTTCTGGGGAGAAAATAGATTTGGTGTGGATTTAGGTTGAGTTAATTTTACTAGAGATTAGACACAACGTGAAAGCTAAATTTCTTGCTTATGTTACTCATTGCTGTTGCCTGATGATTGTTAAAACTGCCTTTAGCTTTTTAAAATTATTTCTGGTGAGGTCGTGTTTTCCAAATGCCTGTCAGCCCTCATGCATGTTTGTTTTATATCCATTTGGAGACGGAGGGAAAGATTTGATTTCTCCCTCCCAATTTATTATACTTAGCTTAGTCATCACAGACGGCTTTAACTTAATACTTTGAAGATACTACTTTTTAAAAGGTGTTCTTATTGCCAGTGACTGGCTTTCCGACTAGTTGTGATAAAAGTTAGATTTGTGATCAGAAATCTTCTGTATTTCTGAAAATAAACTGTTTATTTTGGAATAATCTTAGATTTACAGAAAAGTGGCTAAGACAGTGGAGAGTCCCCATCCACTCCTCACTCAGGTTACTCCACATTTCTTATATAACCCTAGTATGTTTGTCACAACTAAGAACCAAAGATGCTACGTTACCATCAACTAAACCTCAGACTGTATGCGTATTTCACTAGTTTGTCCACTAACATCCTTTTTCTGTTCCAGGATCCAATCCAGGATAACACATTGCATTTAGCCTCACTATTTTTAAAAACTGAAAATGAGAAGATTAGGCAGAGCTCTATGAAAAACTGGAACTCAGACATTGTCCCTTTCTTTTCTCCATTCAGAGATCTTTTCCTCTCTTTCATCCAGTCCTAGAGGCCTATTTTTGGGGTGGTGTCCAACATTAATCTATTATCTTTCTCTCTCCCTCCTATCATAACACCCATTCTCTCAAATGCCCTTCTGATAGCAAACTATTTAAAAGCAAAAAAATTTCAGTGGACAAATTTATATTATACTGTTGATGAATGACAGCTGCTTACTGTGTTAACTTTCTCATAAGTTTTTACATTTAAGAATGTATGCCCAAAAGGCATGCGCTAAACTGAAAGAATGGGGTCCCTAATGGTGAAATTTGCGGGACTACAGTTGGTTGTCAAGGAAGATGTTTTGTACAGGGAGCTTCTGTTTCCACCACTCCTGTGCATCTCTGTGCATTTTCTGAAGAATCACCCGTATTACTTGTGCACCAGTGAGAGGGGAGGCTGGTCCCTTTATTACATGCAGGGTTATACCTAAACAGGGGGGTTGCACAGTGTGCCTGGGGTTCCAGCCCCCAGTCTAGTTCACTAGCTCTCCATCCTTTTTTTGTCTCGTGAGGAAGATCAGCCCTGAGCTAACATCCATGCCCTTCCTCCTCTACTTTATATGGAACGCTGCCACAGCGTGACCAGACAAGCGGTGCATCGGTGCGTGACTGGGATCTGAACCTGGGCCGCCAGCAGCACAGCACACGCATTTAACCGCTATTCCACGGGGCCGGCCCCTCTCCATCCTAATGATCGTCCAAGAATAAGGGAGCGGGGCAAGAGATGGGCTTCCCCAGGGGAAAGAGAAGTTGTTACCTCTAGTAAATGCCAATAAGGTTTTTCAGATTACCGTGGTTCTTTGACTAAAGGTAGGATATTCTGTAAGTGCTGATGTGGCTTTTGATTGTATCTCAAACCTTAATTAAGATTGTGGGATCAGCCTGAAAGATTCTTTACAGGAGATCATTTGGGTAGGCCCAGGCCCTCTGGCTGGTTAATGAATACAAGTTGTTTGTTCTTCTGACATAGTCATTTTCCCCCGCATTTTACTATGAAAATTTTCAAAAATATAACAACATTAAAAACATTTTATAGTGAACACCCACATACCTATCATTAGATCCTACCATTACTATACTTGCTTTGTCACATGCACATCCATCTATTCATCTGTCAGTCCATCTTCATTTTTTTTTTATGAATTTCAGAGTAAATTGCAGACATCTGTACACTTCCCTACTTTTTACTTCGTTACTAACCTTGTTATTTTTGAGGAAGCATAGAGAGTAAGACTTTCATGCTCTTAAACTTTAGAAAACTCTTGCCACAAAGAATTTCTGATTATTTTAGAATTAATAGTAAGTTTAGAAGTGGGAACTCCTTTTTATTCTTTTTCATTGCTGTTTCTCTTGGAGATTTTTTGTCTTTCAAGTATTGTTCCAGGGCAGAGTTCACAAAAGTAGGGCTTGAGGCAAAAATATGTTGGATATTACCTTAAGGTCGGGTTTCCAACTTTGAGAGAAAAACGTAACCTATCATTCTGGCTTTTCTTTTGGGGAAAATGTGTTTTAAAAGTCCAACTACCCTTATATATTTTTGAAGTCCAGTGAATAAGTTGTTTAAAGTCATGATTAAAGGGGCAGGTTTTACTAATCCTACCATCCTTTCATTAGAAGGCCCATAACTTTAGATGAAATCATGCGACAGGAAAAAATGGTCCTCGGGCATCTTTCTGTTATGAAGTTTAAAATATCAAATAGTTCATGCCTTTTCACTTTAGCTCAGTGGTTCTCTAAAAGCATAAAGATCACCTGGGGCACTTGTTAAAGGTACAGATTCTCTCCTGTCTCCATGAAATTCTGAATTATAGGCTGGGAGGGGCCCACTGCAGGTGGTCAAAGGACCACACTTTGGGAAACACTGCTTTAAAATTACTTAAATTATTTAAAATTTTTTCGCTGATAATTGGGACTAATATAACCACACTGACCTTGATGTCTCATTTTGGTTCCTTAAGTGCTGTAACGGTGACTCTCTTAACAGATTGCGGTGAATGCCAGCAGTATAACAGAACAAATACAGTCCCTTTCTGTGCAGGACTCTCAGGTATGTTTCTCTGCCAGTCATTTATGTTCAAGATGCTTTGTAGAAAGATTTTTAGAAAAAGTCAACATTTCAGAAAGATAGACAATTTCAGACTAGTGCTTCCAAATCAGAGTCTTTTTTAATAGGTATGGAGAAAGGAGTAATGTTTTTATTGACTGTGATTTTCAAGACCTCCAAACTTTAAATAATGGGTTTAAGAGCAAGAATTGATTATCAGACTGCTTCTGGAATTGCTGCCTGTGTGAAATAAGAAAAGGAAAGAAAATGACTCACCATTCTGTTAGATTCTAGCCACAAAACATTGTCATTAGTTGATACTTTTCTTTTTTGCTCCTGGTTGGATTTCTGTAACCTGTTTTTGTAATTCCATTATCATTGAATTTTATGGGCTAATTTATCTCTACAACTTGCCTTGTAAAACTAATAGTTCAGTGACTGTGAAATGCATTTATATTAAAAGTTATGTAACAGAAGACGTGTCCCACGAGTTGTGTTGGGTGCTGATGAAGGATGATGAGCAACCCAGCGGGGAGGGACTGTATACATAGAGCTGAGTGCAGGCCCCCTTTCTGATTTTGCTGTATAATTAATAGACAAGCCCTCTGCTCTCGAAGTGGTTATACTATTAAAGCATCACCAGCCTTGGGATCACAATTTTTTTTTTACAAAATCTGCATAATCCATTTAAATTCATTTTTATCCTCCTTGATCTCTGTTTTATGAAACAGCTGTATACTGAGGAGATAGAGTGATGGGGTTTCATGGTTGCAGGAAGCCTTCTGAGGTCAGGTATCTAGTCCTTGGCTCTCATTTCATAGCTGAGGAAGTAAAGATTTGCAGAGGTCAAGTGGCTCGCACAACTGGTTAGAGGCTGAGGCAGGATTCAGTTCAGGTCTTTACACTGTGTCGGGCAACTCGGTGAAACTCCTTGAGATAAACTGTAGGGATCGGTTGAAAGATAAAGGGCAAGTTAGGAATAATAATGGGTCAGAAGGCAGAGAGAGTAAAGGAGAGAGGAAAAGGGCCTAGGATAAGTAGTATTGAATAATGTGTTGTAGTTTAGTACTGTTTTTCATATGTATTGTTTTGTTCTCCCAGCCATCTTTTGGGGCAGGTATTACCCCCATTTTGTAAGGGGGAATGTAGGTTCAGAGAATGGCTTGTCCATGGTTGCGTAGCTGATCAGTGGCAGAGCCAAGTCATGACCGTAAATCCCCTATTTTTCTACTCCAACAGGAAGGTCTACTCATGTCCAGGGATTCGTAGGAGTAGGGAGGGGCTGGAGTAGAGGCATTCATGGTCGATGATCTCTATTCAAGGAAATGGGCTCTGGGTGAGAAAGGCAGGAAAGATAGAAAGTGGCCTGATCTACTGTGTTCCACCTTCCTCTGCATCCTGAGGTCTAAGGTGCCCAACCTTTGTTCATCACCCAGGCCCAGTGGCTACAGTCCATGGCTTGGGTTGCAAGGTGCCCCTTTAGACGACTGACCCTTCTTCTTTGCACTTTCTGCAGCTTCTACCAGTTATCCATAGGGCCTGTCCTACGTCTGAGGCTTTCTATAGGAAACATTCATATCCACAATTGTGATGGGAATTAAGCATCCTTCCCACCTTCACACAGAGGTGTTATGCAGCCAAATAAGACCTGCATGTGTAAGACCTAGTTTTGAAATTTCCAGAAAGAAAGGGCTGTGTGAATCAAGGATATCATGATTTTATTCGTTTCCTGAGTTTATAACACTGTTTGCTGTTTTGTTTTTGAAGGGCCTACCCAATGCTAGTGAAGACTATAGAGAAGCTTCTTGTGCTGTGAACCTCGTTTTAAGATTAAGGTAAATAATATTGTTTATTTTTGCATTGTTTTTCCTATAGTACAATATTCTGATCTCCTTCATTAACTTTTCATAACATTAGCATAAAATAAAATTGTTAGCTTATTTGATTTCCCCAAACAGCCAGTGTATGCTGTATTCTCAGGAATAATTGCTCTCTTCTAATTGCTTTCTAAAGAAGAATAAGAAAGAACAGCATCATGTGAGTGTGTCTGCATGCTCAGTGTACCCTTATTAAGTTTTTTTCCCTTGCCTTTTCTTTCTCAGGTTTTTCTTTTCTTTCTTTTTTTTTTTTTTCCGTTTTTACAATGTAAGATCACAGTAAGAGATTTTTAATGAGTTTCTTTCACACCTGAGCAGTCAGTCTCTGACAGAAATAAACCATGCTTGTACTACAAGTTGCCCGGTCAGAACATTTTTCAGTGGCATGTTTGATCAGCCACTGTGGAGAAATGACAGATACATTTTGAAAGAACCTTCAGTCTTATAGGAAATGGATACAAATATGGTGCCTGGCAGTACAGTCTTTATGTCTAGAGAATGAAAGCTCTTCTAATTTCAAGGATTTTTAAATTTTAAGGTCGATCTTAATGTATATTCTTTGTTAAGAGTTTGGTATCTCAAGACAAAAGAAATTTGCTGGAACTTAATTGTAGACAGTTTAATTTACCAGGTCAGTTAGAATACCATCACATTTTTGAAGGTGTTTTAAAATAAGTTATATATATGTTCTCCTTTGACAATTAAACAAAAAGACACATGGCTAATGGGCCATTTTCCGAGCTGTGGCTATTAAAAGTGGGTTCATTTTCCATCCCTCTGAGTTATCATAGTCTGTCAGAGTAGATTATCATTGCCATAATCACCCCATACTTCTGATGGTCATTTACAATCTGCCTGCATTTTCATATACTTACCAGGGGAACCTCACAATGACCCTGGGTCTGATTTAATACAGAGTTGATTTCCAGTCAAGAAGTGAAATAATTACAAGACTGTTTTCCTTATATTTGAAAGTAGCCTTGATTATGATCCATAATTCGTGTATTTAGCAATCTCCAAAGAATGAAGTAGTCCATTCCCTTTTTTTTTTAACCTTGGAACTCCTTTCATGTATTTTCCACTTGTTCATGTATTCACTCATTCCACCAGTATTTATGAGAAGCCCACTCTGTGCTGGGCTCAGTGTTTGTCATTGAGATGCAGGAGTGAGCAACACTGGAGGCTGCAGTCTAACCCACTGAGTGTGCAGAGTTGGAAGTGACCTTTAGAATCCAGTCATCCAATCTCCTGCTTTATATATGCAGGAAACTTTTCTTTAGCATCCCTGCTGGACATTTACCCAGCCTCCATGCATACTTCAGCTCACTCTTTTTCCATGATTACCCCTGTGATACTGAAAAGCTTTAATTGTTATGGTTCATCTTCCTCCTAACGATTCAACTGACCTTCCTGTTCTGAGCTCCTGTGGCTCGAATTCTAGCTCCTAGAGCAAATATCAGGTTTTCTGGATAAAAGTCTCCTGAAGATTGTGTTAAAATGCATATTTCTGAGGCATACCTCCAAATATTGTTTTGTTCAAGGTACTAGAACAATATAGAACATATGCATCCCCTCATTTTTCTGCGGGCCATTTGTATATTGGCAAGGCTTGTTCTTCTCTTTCCTAGGCAAAACAATGCAAGTAACTTTAGCCTTGCTTCTCATAATATAGTTCTATATCCCCCTCACGATCCTGGTTGTTCACCTTGCTTGACATTTAGCCTGCTTTTGTTACCTTTTTCCTCGCGTCTAGGTGGTGGTTTTCCTGAGTTTGTGGCTTAGATCATTAGTCCTACAGGATGCTCCAAGAAGAAAGGGTTCTGTGCTCAAATAAGTTAAACAATGCGTAGCATTCATCTCTTGTGTACACACACACACCTTTTTTGGAAATCACGGTATAAGTTGTAAGAAGTTCTGCAGGAAAGGAATTTGTTTAACTTTGTTTACTCTAAAACTTATTTGACCTCAGAACTCTTTTCATGGAGTTATTTTCCAGTTTAACATTGTCCCTTTTAAATGTAGCAACCATATTTAAATGTAGCACCCATATTTAAATGAAAGGACTTCAGATGTGGTCTGGCAGGCTGGAATAGAGTAGTAGGATCATGTGATTTTTGCAGTTCACACTCTGTATTTCTCCTAAATCAGCCCAAGTTTTCATTGCCTTTTGACATACCGTGTACCTTGGTGATGAATTGGGCATGACTCAGCAGTGAAATAAAACCCCTAGTTTTGTTTTTTCCATTTGAAGGGCTTCCAAGCCTAATTTTGAACTGCAACTTGTCTTTTAAAGCTCTCTGTATGTCTTAGCATTTACCACTATAATAATGAACATCTTGGTTTTGACTCATTGCTTGCCAGCCATATATTTCACTCATGATTGTCAATGTGTCATTTTAGTTACAATGTTTGGACATACGTCACTTGCCAGTCTGATGAATCTGTCTCTTTATCCAAAACATTGATTAGCATGTTCAACAGTTAAAGTAGGACAGAGCCTTCTGGCATCTGTTAGAAACTGCTCACTTTCTGAATGGCTTTCAATAATTAACTAGTATATTTTGGTATAGTTCCTCAACCAGAAACAAATGCTATTAACTCTACTGCCATTTAGTGGACATTTAACTAACTATTCAGAAGGATATCGTAAAAGGATCCATTAAAAGTGTTGCTGAAATTAAGACATATTGTATCAATTGTATTTTCCTGAATCTAACCACCTTAGAAACACTTTCATAAAATGGAAATGAATTTAATAATAACTTATTTTTAGTGAACATATGTTGATGCCTAGTTGTTTGTATGTGTTTTTTCTCTAAATGTTTACAAAGTGTTTGTTTAAACTAGTGTTTTTCATATTTGAGAATTCTTGAATCTCTCAGAATATATTGTTGGACTCCCCTAAGGGCGATCCTTGTAACTTTAATTTGAAAAAATAGCCTTTGAAAGTTAAAAGTTAAATGTTTTAATTAAATTTTTGTGATCACTCTGTGCTGATGTAAATGTCAACAGCAAATACATTGATTCATTCTATAAATATTTATGGAGCACCTCCTATGTGTGTGGCACTGTTCTAGGTGCTGTGATGCAACAGGGGAAAAAACAAAAGACAAATTTCTTGCCCTCCTGGAGCTTACATTCTAGAGGCGGGGAGAGGAACAATTCAATTCCTATTACTTACATGGCATGGCAAGTTCTCCGAAGGAAAAGCTACATCAGGAGGATAGAAAGCATGGGCAGTGCTAGTCTATATTAAGGAAGGAATGTTAGTTTTCTACTGCTGTGTAACAAGTTACCACAAACTTAGTGGCTTAAAACAACACCGTTTATTATCTCATAGTTTCTGTAGGTCACAAGTCTGGAGACAGCTGAGATGGATTCTCTGCTCATACCGAGCAGTGGGCTCGCTCTTCTCACGGCAGTCTGAGCCAGTTAATCACCACAAGTTAGGGATCAAGAAAGAAAGTTTTAATTTGATTAGCCGGCATGATTGGGAAGATGGCAGACTCATGTCTCAAAAAACCCATCTTCAAAAATTACAGAATCTTGAGGTAGTTATATAGGGAAAATGGGCAGTAAGGAGGGGGTTTCCTTCAGGCATGATGGACTCCAGGGTCTTTTATTATTCCATTCTTCTGTCAGCTGTGATGGATACCTTGTAGGTGTGTTTCCCACTTGTGGTCAGCCTGTTCCTGGAGAGAAACTCATAGAACAAAGTTTTAATTTATCAAGCTATTGGGGAGTACATACATAAGTGGAGGCCATAAATCAGGAGAGCATGTGAATTTTTTTAAAGTACGTGTCGAGTAGTGAGTAGTCACACAGAGGAGGGGCTGAGGCCATTTAGCGTCACAAGATGGCCTCATTTATGCTCACTTACACTGTGTCTCACAGGACTGCAATTAAGGCATGCTCATCTGGAGCTCGAGGTCTTCTTCCGAGCTCATTTGGGTGTTGGTGGAATTCAGTTCTTTGCAGTTGTGAACTGAGGCCTTCAGCTCCTACAGGCCACCCCACTCCACAGACAGTTCATAGCATGACTCTGCTTTTTTTAAGGGCAGCAGGAGACCATCTCCTGTCCCCTCCAAGGCCTTGGTCCCTCTTTTAAAGATTTTTCACCTGATTAGGCCAGTCCCATCTAGGATAATTTCCGTTTTGATTAAGTCAAAATCAACGGATTTGGAACTTTAATTACCTCTGCAAAATCCCTTCACCTTTCCCAGAGAACATAACTTAATCACAGGAGTGACAGCCCATCACATTTAAAGATCCCATTTACTCTTAGAGGAGAGGATTATGCAGGGCATGTATACTAGGGGACAGGAATATTGGAGGCCTGTAGAATTCTGCCTACCACGGAAGGCCTCTCTAAATAAAGTGTTATTTGAGCAGACCCCTGACGAAAGTGAGGAATCAAGCCATGAGATTGTTTGGAGGAAGAGAATTTCAGGCAGAGCAGAAGTGATTGCAAAGATTTTGAGCAGGAAGTATGTTATAAGCAGTTATAAAAACAACCAGGGAACCAGTGTGGCCAGAGTGGTAGGGGATGAGGTCAGAGAGTTAGGGGCTGAATCAGGTAGGCTGTGTAGCCTGTAGTGAAGATTGGATTTCAGCATTTGTGGGTAGGAAACCATTGGAAGATTGGGAGCAGAACAGTGATGTGATCTGAGTTGAATATTAAAACGAGCACAGTGATTGCTTTATGGAGAATAGATCGTATAGGGTGGAAGCAGAGAGCCAATTGGCGGGCTATAGTAGTGATGCTGTGAGCCATCATGTGACCTGGACCAGGGTGGGGAATAATAGAGATGGCAAGCAATTATTGGATTCTGGGTGGAGGAGAGAGAACTCAAAGATTACTCAAGGTTTGAGCCTGAAAATATGAATGAACGGAGTTGGTATTTCCTGAGTTGAGGAAAAGCGTTGGAGCTGCAAGTTGGGGTGGAATGAAGAGTTCA